ATGAGTTGGCATTGAAAACCACTCTAAAACTGAACTGAAAACACAAACTAATCATAAAGCAATAAAAATGTACATTTGTGAAGGACTGTAAAAGATCATGGTGAACTTTAACTCACAGAAAGAGACAGACAATAGATAAATGTAAATATATGTTCATGTAATCACACACACACACACACACACACACACACACACACACACACACACTACTTTTTAAGATCTATAAATGCTCCTAAAACTTATCCCATCAGTGAATACTTCCATTCTTATAATACTCTGTATCTCTGTACCAATTTAAATTAAGTGCTTTATGATTGAAGCTGAGCTGAAGGCTCAGGTGTTGGGTCACATGATCCTGGGCCCCTTGGGATTAAATTCCTGTTCTGGCACAGTGACCTTGCCTATGTCATATAGCCTCTGTATGACTCTCTTTTCTCCTTCATAAGATCATATTTACCTCCAAAGCTCACTGTAAGGAGTAAACGAATGGATGCACAAAACACAAAGAACTAAATTGCAGTATGACACATCTAGCATGAAGAATACGCTCCAAATCAGTGACTCTATCAGTCCTGAAGGTCTATATCATTTATCACTGGGTAAACGAGTCATCTTCACAGATGAACTTACTCTCCATAATCAAATTCAAATTCAGCAAATATTCTGGATCAGAGGTAAGCAAAACAGGCAAGGGACTCCGAGAGGGAATTATCAATTTACGGGAAGACCATTAGTAGTAGATGTATCTTCAACTCAGTACACAGTTGGATGATAAGGAATTTCAAAAATTATTACTTTGATAAATAAACCCACTGACTTGTGAAACAAATCAAATTATTGTGTTGGCTTAAATAATACGTATGCTATTTTCTCAGGAAAAAAAACTACAAGTGGAGTAAATTGGATTTAAGAAATATTCTTCTTTCCTGGAATTCATTAATCATTTAACAAAGAAAAAGTTGGTTCAAACATGGAGGAGAATAACTAGTTAAAATTTAATAAACCTAAGTGATACTAGACAATGCAGAACCAAAGTAGGTCACTAAATAACTCCTGGCCACTTTTTTTTTCTCAAAAATCATCTTGTTGAGTATTTTCTAATTTAGAACTTGAGATTGTGGTTCAAAAAATAAATCTATTTCCTAAAATTCCGACCATGCACCTCAAATTCCAATCCAAGTCAGTAAAAAGGAAAGAATGCAAGTATTCCAAATCTAAAATGATATAAGGATTTTTTATTTCCTCTACCTACAAACCTTAGGCATATTATATACATTGATGCTTCTAAAGAAATTGTATGAAGTCAAAAAGTTCAAAACCCAACCTGTGGCTGAATAAATCATAACCTCAGATTCAATACATCAGATTCAATTATGTTCTTCAGTAAGAAGATCCATAATGACAACATGCTCTATCTGAACAAACTTTGCTTAAACACTGTTACTGATAAGAGTATGACTTCTCTTAAGGCACGCAATCTATTTCTATCTTCATTTGATCTGTGATTGGTGGAGTGAATGTTTAAGTAATCTCCATCTAAATTAGACAATCAAGTTTTCCTTTTCTAGGTGGCGTCATAGATTATAGTTGGTTGCCACAGATGATTTATTAAAAAGAACTTCTACAACTTGAACAACTCATTTCCCATGAAACAAATATACCAATAATGATCAGTCTTACAATGGTATGAAATGATATTACTATTTATAAAAATTATATATATAAACCATTCAGTAATTGATAAACCTTATAAACATTCACCTAATATTCTTTGTGAATCAGACAATGCATTCAGTGTATTTATCCCATTGAAATCTGGGAACAGTCCAAGTAAGTAAATAATAGCACTATTTTTTAATTATAATTTGTTATATATGACATCAGAATGCATTCCAATTCATATTACACATTAGAGCACATTTTTTTCATATCTCTGGATGTATACAAAGTATATTCACACCAATTTGTGTCTTTAAACATGTACTTAGGGTATCAATGTCCATCTCATTCCACTGTGTTTCCTACCTCATGCCCACTTTACTCCCCTCTTACCCCTAAAATCACTATTTCTATTCTACTAACATGGACTATAAAACCAAGAGAGGTTTAGTAACTTGTACTGAGTGGCACAGCTAGTAAGGTGTGGAGATGAGATTCAAAGCCCAGCAGATGGACTCCAACTAATGTCTATACTCTCCAATTGGATTATATTCTCCTTAAAATCAAAGGCAAAAAACTAAGTCATCTTTTATATTCAAATCAAAAAATAATCAGAGGAATTGTGTGGGGTTTTGCTCAGTGTAGAGTATGTGCCTAGCATGCACACACTAAGCCCTGGGTTCAATCACCAGCACCCATCATCATCATGTAATCACTAGCACAGAAAACGAATCATTGTGAGTTATCAATCATTGCAGATTTTCATTACAATTTTAGAGTAGATAATATGTGACTATGTTCAAAATTCTAAAGATACTAAGTATACAGAGAAATGAAAAATTTCTCCCAACCCTGTCCATTATCATCTCACCCCATACCTTTCCATAGAGATAAACACTGGCAAAAATTGACCTGCACTCTTGAAAAATCCATCCAACGGAAGTGCTCACATGCATATTGATACATTCTATTGTCTTTAAAAATCACAAATGGTAGAATGCTTTTTCCTTTTTCCTAACAATATGTTATATATTGCTCCATGTGACTAAATTAGAGTTTCCTCATTCACTTAAAAGATAGTTTCACATTCATTCATATGGATAGTCAATCATTTCTTTAATCATTACCTTTGTTGCTTATTTTTGTGGCTTAGGAGTTCTGAGAGGTATTAGAAATTTAAACTTCAAAGGATGACTTTCAGCCCAATTGAAGTCATCAGATAAATATTTTTATATGAGTTGCTGTGGGCCATAAAAACGAGTTTAAATCTAGTGAGATCAATATGACATGTATGTGTATAACACAAAGTCACTACCAAAGCTGTGAAAGAGGTAGAGCTTGCTCCCAAGGTCTTGGCATGGGTGAGGTGGGGAGGGAGGAATCATAAAACAAATTTTAAGGACATGTACAATTCTGACAGCCAGAGAGCTAGGGGTCTTTCTGAAGCCCAAACGGGCAGAAGGAGCTACAATGAAAAATGAAAACCTTGATCACAGATAGGACCATATAGTGCACAATAAGGAGATGTTATGTGATTCAATTTGGTTAGACTAGAAGGTATAGGAAATACGATCCAGAGAGAAAAAACAGCAAGGATAGGAGGATACATTTATGATATTTACATTCACTGTGATGGGAAGTAGGGAGTCACTGAAAGCTTTTGAGCAGATGAGTGTCATAATTGGAGCTACATAATAGGAAGATTAGCAAATGGTTGGAGCCGGGTGTGGTGGCACATGCCTATAATGCCACAGCTGGGGAGGCTGAGGCACCAGGATCACGAGTTCAAAGCCAGCTTCAGCAAGTGTGAACCGCTAAGCAACTCACTGAGACCCTCTCTCTAAATGAAATATAAAGAAGGGCTGGGAATGTGACTCAGTGCTTGAAGGCCCCTGAGTTCAATCCCTGGTACCAAAAAACAAAACAAAAAACAAAACAAAAAACACAACACCAAATGGTTTGGAGGAATGACTGGACTGAAGGAAGGGAGATCAGTTAGCAGACTTTTAATTGGTTACGTGATATGAGGATGTGATTGCATTAACTGAATAGTAAGAGGGAAATATTAAGGAACAAAGAAAGGTAAATCTGATTTTGGTAGATACACTTTATTTTGATAATTATTGATTAGCTATAGAACGTGAACATTTATCTGTTTTCAAATTAAAACATAAGCAATCCTTTGTAAAGACTTAGATTTGAACATTAAAATGTTAGTGTTTCTTTCATGCTAAACATATTTCTCCCACTTTTATGGTTCATCAAAATTTAGCCAGACAATGGTGAAGCATGCCTATAACTCCAGTAACTCAGGAGGATCAAGGCCAGCCTCAGCAACTTATTTCTCAAAAAAAAAAAAAAAAAAAATGTGGCTCGGTGGTTAAGCACCTCTGTGTTCAATCCCTGGTATAATAATAATAATAATAATAATAATAATAATAATTGGTGTCAGAGGAGGGAATGAGGGATAACCCAAAATAGGGACATCAATAATAGCGATAATGCACGATTGTAAATTATCAATAGTTGATGGTGGATGTTGTTTCCCAATACACAAAGAAGCTCTAGCGACAGGGCGGAGATGATGGCCCTTTTCTAATATCTCATTTTGCCTCCTTTCCTTCAGCTTTGCTTCTAGTCAGGGAGAAAGATTTTCCTAGCCCCTGCCTCTGCATCCAGAGGTAACTAGACGGAACCTCAGGAAAAACAAACGGGCTCTTTGCTCATTTTCCCTTGGTGGCAGCCAGTTCTACCAGTCAAAGAGACAAGTCGAGCTCAAAAGCTCATTGAGAATGGAGGGCAGAAGGTCACAGCCAACCCAGAGGGACAAGAAGGCCTTTTCCAGGGTCATTCATTCCTGGGACTACTGAATTGGGTCATGGTGGGAGGCAAAGTCCTGCCACAGCCGTAGGTTAGAGAGAATGTTGACACCTCATCCCTGGGCTAAGAAAGGTCTGTGGGTCATTTAGGTTATGGTGGCAGGCCCCATCTTAAGGACAGGCAGGGTTTGCTGGGGTGGACTTGGGATCTGTGTTTGCTCTCTCTGCTGCCTCCGGGAAGAGGTTGCAACATGCAGCTTCCCCTCCCTCCCCAAAACAGTGGCTAAAGCTTCACCTACTCTGGGAGGTTTTTGGATCACAGGGAGACGTTTGAGCTGGGCCAAAAAAAGGAGGAGCTTAAATCGGGGTGCAAAATCTGGGAACCTGCTGAGCACAGGTTGGGACCAGGAGGAGGAAAAAGAGACGGGAAAGAGGTGCCCACCCTTCCGGTAAGGAGACCCCGTGATCAGCTCCCTCCAGTAGCCATCGCGGCCAGCCCTGGACCTTGTATAAAGGCACAGGGGCAGCCCAGGAGTTCACAGCGCTGACAGCACAGGGCTTGAAGTGCCAGGCGCCCCAGGCATCATGGGTTTGTCCCTACAACCCCGGAGTTTAATTCTGTACCTGTCCAGCCTTCTCCTGTTCTCTCCAGCATGCCTGGCAGTAAGTGTGCTGTTCATAAAACACCTTTCTTTTAAACACAAAGCCGAAACATAAGAAAGCAAATGGTGACTAGTGACATTTCGTGCTTTTCTCCTTTTAGTATGTGGCTACCAGAGACAACTGCTGCATCTTAGACGAAAGATTTGTAAGTAGCGTTTATGTTTCTGGCGTTCTGTTGGGAGAGGGGAGGACCACAGAAGCAATTCTTCCACAAATACCGTTTAATGTTTTTAAAATATCGTTGACCTATTACTTTTTTTTTTTTTATGGATAGGTTTTAAGTGTTGCTCTTGTCCAAATGTCTGGTCACTTGCTGCTTCTGTTTGCAGGGTAGTTATTGTCCAACTACCTGTGGCATCGACGATTTCCTGGCTACTTACCAAAGCAATGTACACAAGGACCTGCAGAGTTTGGAAGACATCTTAAATCAAGTTGAAAACAGAACAACAGAAGCCAAAGAACTCATCAAAGCCATCCAGATCAGCTATAATCCAGATCAGCCAAAAAAGCCAAGTGAGAAACTAAGGACTGGGGGCCAACTGAGAAAATCGTTCAAGAAGTTCTTTTGTCGTTGTTTTAGTTGTTTGGTTTGTTTATTTTCTGGTTTTGGTCTCCTCTAACAAACAGATATGATAGAGACTGCCACCCAGAATTCCAAGAGGATGGTAGAAGAGATCATGAAATACGAAGCATTGATTCTAACACATGACTCTAGTATCCGGTAAGCATTTTGGCTTTCCTTTGCTCTCCAAGACAGATTTAGTTTTGATTACTATAACATGTTTCAGTGAAAGTCTTTTTAATTTTTTTTTTCATTTAAAATGTCCAGTTGACATATGTCTGTCTTTGACCCAATGAGGTGGGAGGTTTTTTGTTGTTTTTTTGTTTGTTTGTTTGTTTGTTTGTTTGTTTTTATGTGTGTTTATGCAATATGAATTTTATTGGATTGTAATTGCATTTATTTATGGCATTGGGGATCAAACTCAGGGCTTCGTGCATGCTAGGCAAGTAACCAAGCACTGAGCTACATCCCCAGCCCCAGGAATTGCTTTCTAATAATTACATTGGAGAAAGATGTTCTAAGTATCTTTAAATGTTTGAAATCTAAATATCCCTCACCTTCCACTGGTCTTACAATGTAAAAATCATACACATGGGCATTTGGGTGTTGAAAGTAAAATTCTCTTTATAAAAATGTCAACAAGTCAGTGGTAAGAAATTATCAAGCAGAGTCATAAGAAGGATCATGACTACTAAGGTAAATTATATTGAAGGTGAGTCAGAAATGAAATATCTTAAGAGACTTAAACAAACATTGTAATTGTAAACATTGTAAACAAACACATAGTATTTTCCTCCTATCATGTGGAAATAAAATACCTGTTCCTGGCTTCCTAGAGTCACATAAACTTTCTAACCATGGAATCTCAGAAAAAGTTGTAGTTTCTTCACCATTTAAAAAAAATTGATCTCAAAACTGTGAGAAACTGAGTGTATGGGAAGAAGTGGCCCAGGAGAGATTTGCCTCTTTTTGATAACAGAAGTCTGTTGTTGTATTTATTTCACCAATATAATTTACATTATGACTGCCCATCATTGAAGTTAAGGAGACCATTGTGCAGAAATCGTCTAAGAGTAGAGAAAGAGGGTGGTCCAATAGTTTTTTGTCCCTTCTGTTCTTCAAAGTTAGAAACAGAAGTTTATGCACAGTAGATATTTTTCTATCATTTCTGAATATTTATAAGCAATCCTGTGAGAAACTGCAAAAGCAGGGTTTTTACTTCCCCCAAGCTTTTTCCAGACCTGTGTAACTAGAAACACTAAGATAGGGAAGTGTCTAGTTGTTTATTTTATGTATGGTAATACCTAAGATACCTTTTGCAAGTAACTTAGAGATGAAAGCCCATTAATAGGTCCTTGGTAGATCACCAAGTTTAAATGGATGACGCTTCAACAACACATGGGAATTACTGAGCAGAACTGTCCCTGCTTCCAAATGGCCAGGAGGTGTCTCCCTTAACCAGGCCCATCTCACTTTGGCTGTTACCTGCTCTCCTTTAAGCATAAACTGAAAATCAGAATGACCACTTAGTGATGACCTTTGTATATTGACATGGACTTTGTTATTTGTGTTCAGAGTTGAGACTTTATGTCTGTTTCTGGATAAAAAGATTCTGGCAAAAAAAAAATTGTATTCCTGTTTTAATTATTTAGGGAGGGGGGTGTGGAGTTGATTTCCTTGCCCCCAAAACTTAGCATTTTAATTCATTTCAATTTATTAACATAATTTTGCAAATTTCCCCAAAAGGGAAATCTTAAGAAAAGAAGATAGTAGTTCTAAGAGAAAATACAAAGTTACTCCAATGAAAGGAATGCTTATCTTTTATTATCTCATTGTTTAATTTGTAGATTTTTGCAGGAAATATATAATTCAAATAATCAGAAGATCCTTAACCTGAAACAGAAGGTAGCCCAGCTTGAAGCCAAGTGCCAGGAGCCTTGCAAAGACACAGTAAAAATCTATGATACAACTGGGAAAGGTAAATGAGAGGTTTATATTGGGATCATGTTCATCAAAGCAAATAGACAAAGTAAAAGGGAATGTATAGGAATAATGTAGACAGTGTCTAGCTTTCCCCACCACTCTTCCCTGCCTTACTTTTTTTTTTTTTTTCTGGAAGTACTGGGAATTAAACCCAGGGGCACTTTACCACTGAGCCACATCTCCAACCCTTCTAGCTCCTTTTCTTTCCCTTTTTCCTCTTTTTTTTCGTCCTTCATTTCTCCCTTTCTCTCTCTCTCTCTTTCTTTCAACAGGGTCTTGTTATGTTGCTGAGGCTAGTCTAGATCTGCAATCCTCCTGCCTCAGTCTCCTGAGTCTCTAGAATTATAGGCATGCTGCTCCTTGCCTAGTGAGTGTCTAGCTCTTAAGTGTCTAAGGATTCCAATAGTATATTCTTGAGTAGCAAACAATAGTTTGGAAGGACTGATGATGTAAGAATGTACATAATGTAAATTATATTCCTCTTGGGAAATGAAGAGTTGAAAACAGGTTCATTTCATCTCATTTTTGAGGTTAGCACAGTCTTACCTGGATTTAAAACCACAGTAAATGTTTCTTATTTTCCTTTTTCAGATTGTCAAGACATTGCCAATAAGGGAGCCAAAGAGAGTGGCCTTTACTTCATCAAGCCTCTGAAAGCGAAGCAGCAGTTCTTGGTCTACTGTGAAATTGATGGCTCTGGAAACGGATGGACTGTGCTACAGAAGGTAGTTTTCCCTTTTCATCTGTGTTTAATAAATGTCCACATTGGTGCTGCCATATGGCAGATGCTTATCAGGGTACCTTGTGAACATTAAATTACTTAACCCTCAGGAGGGAACTGAGGATGACAGGTAGAGTAACTTGCCCCAAATCACATAAGTAATAAGTAACAGAGTGAGGATTTGAATCCAGGCAGTGTGGTTTCAGTGTCTTGGCTTTCACTCAATATGGCTGGTGTCACTGCTGCAGATTTATGATGGCACATAAGCAAAGTCCTTTGGTCACACAAAAATAGAAGAGACCTCTTTCATCAGATATATTAAAACCAAGGACCGCCATCACAAGAAGAAAGCCCCCCACCCCAGAAGATACAGGTGGGCTACTCCAAGGCCTCTTGTGGCCTCTGCCAGTCACTGGGAGCCACTGAGGATCCTGGCTCCTTTGCCTTAATTTCTTCCTGCCACTGTTAAACTACTTGTTCAGGGGGCACTCAGAGGGCTGCATTCCACCATCAGCACATGGAATCAATAATGTCTTGCTAGAGTTCTAAAGTCCTCCAGGGGTATTTAAAAAAAAAAAACAAAACCTACCACTAGTTCAGAATTCACCATGTACTGAGCACTCTTTAAAATGTTTTATTAATATCTATCATGAAATCCTCACAGCAACCCTAAAAAGCCTGATTTGATAGATAAGGAAACCAAGGCATCTTGCCCATGTCACTTCATTGCTAGTCAATAGATTTATAACCTCCATATTTTTGACAGGATGTTGATGATATTTTCTTGACATGCACTAATATCTGCTCTCTCCCCTTGTGCCATTCTGTAATTAGAGACTGGACGGCAGTGTGGATTTCAAGAAAAACTGGATTCAGTATAAAGAAGGATTTGGCCATCTCTCTCCTACTGGCACCACTGAGTTTTGGCTGGGAAATGAGAAAATTCACTTGATAAGCACACAGTCTCAAATCCCATATGCACTCAGAGTGCAATTGGAAGACTGGAATGGCAAAACCAGGTACTGTGCAGAAAGAACGTTAAGGAATTTTTTTTGTAGAGGTCGTCCATACATGTGCCCTTTCCAACTCTCAATAGATGGATAGCAAAAAACAGCCTGGTATATGTGAGGAACAGTTTGGTTCTTGGGCAGTCCAAAGAGGAAGGTTCTCTCTGTAATGGATCTGAATGCTTTGGTATAATTTACTTACCCTGGAAACATTCATAGCAATAGCTAGTTGCTGAGATTTTAATAGGTTCCAGAAAATGAGCATGATATTAAATCTAATTTAATCAAAATAACCATCCCCAAAGCAGGTATCATTATTAATCTCACTTTATCAACTAACATTGCTGGTAAATGGTAGAGGTGGGGTATGAATTCAGGAAGTTTGACTTCATGAGTCTCCTGAATGAAAGTGAATTCAGCCTCTTTAGATTTCCCATTTATTTAATAACCACTCATTCTGTCAGCTCCTTGGTTATCATAAAATAAAATCAGCTGGCTCCCTTGGTGATCTACAGCCCTCTCTAGACTTAGAGGTACCTGAGAATTTTGAGTTTGTAGACCTAATTCAAGTGAATAAAAACATTCAACCATCTTACTATGTTACATATTACATATTCTGTCTCTGAACACAAAGATTTGTTATTGTTGTTTTTTTTTTAACTCTTCAGGTGGTATGAAAGTACTATAGTCAGTAGACTCTTTCCTATAAGATCATCTCCCATTTTCCTAGTACTGTAGATTAGGGAAGAAGGTAAAATATTTTCTGGAAATCTCTGTTCATTCCCGAGACTCATTATTCTCTCCACTCCATGGAATTTTATTTCTTTTACAATTTTTCCCAGTGGAGAATCTCTCTCTCATTCCTATAGCTCATTTTTGTGTGTGTGTTTGTGGACTACACAGGTACTGTTTAGTATGTCCTTATGATATCCTAGATAGCCCTCCTTCTTGCCTCTGCCCTACTGCCTTGGGAAAGAAGACTCTTTTTAGACCTCACCCCTCAGGTGGTATGAATGGGTAAGGGAACTAGCTGTATCTCCTTCATGAGCATTAACTCATGCTGACTCATCATCTGATCATCAGGGTTAGCATTGAATGCAAGGCTAAAAACTTAAATAGAAAGGGTAAATATGAAATTAGTCAAATTTTGGTTTTATTAGGAACCTATCTATAAGTAAAAAAGCATTCAAACAGGTGAAGTGTTTACTTTTCACTGGGACTCCTTGAAGTCTTCTAGACCCTTCCTGAGCAGAGTTGATGAACTCTGAACTGGTTCACACATTTATTATCTCATGCCACATTTGTAGAAAATGCTTCTTGATGTTCCTATTTCAGTCTTAAGAAGCGAAGTGACAAAGCAGCTGCCTGAGGGAAACGGGACCTTCTGAACTTCCTGAGGAGGCTTAGGATGTGACGTCTCTATTTCCTTCTTCACAGTACTGCAGATTATGCCATGTTCAAGGTGGGACCTGAAGCTGACAAATACCGCCTGACCTATGCCTACTTCGTCGGTGGAGATGCTGGGGATGCCTTCGATGGCTTTGATTTTGGTGATGATCCTAGTGACAAGTTTTTCACATCCCACAATGGCATGCAGTTTAGTACCTGGGACAATGACAATGATAAATTTGAAGGCAACTGTGCGGAACAGGATGGATCTGGTTGGTGGATGAACAAGTGTCATGCTGGCCACCTCAATGGAATTTATTACCAAGGTACGGCTTTCTTTCTTAGGTTCCAAGTGAGCGTAGGGTATGTACATTTTACAAAGTGTAATAAATAGATACAAAGTAAAGAGGAATAATTGTAAGGCTAGTAGGTCTTTTATCATTTAGGTCTTTAGTTGAAACCAAGACTGTGCATAAAATAGGACAACCACCTACTGCAAAATACCCAGTGGTTTGTCATCATACCTAAAGCTATCACCATCAGACTTGGAACTCTGGGTTACAGTATCTCCTTTAGACATACCATATATGTGATCTGGATGGGATAACATTACATATTTGTACTTATTAACACATTATCCTGGCTCAGCTTCCCGTGAGTTATATGTATCAGATACAACCAGTGAACAGTGGGTAAGTGTCTAAAGAAGTGGAATGAAGGCAAGGAAAGTACTATTAAGGGAAAGGGTTCATGAATGCATGAGAAAAGTCATGCTTAGGGTGTATAGACACTTATTTTAGGATGGGGGAGGCTATGTTTTCTATAAGGGTGGAATGATTTGGACCACTAATTTGACTTACTGCCCAGCAGTTATGTCTGTGGAGGCCCTACAGGTGGATCCTAAAGGGTTCATTAGCAAACATAGAATATGGCTACTCATCTCATCTGCTTATAAGCAGCCTTATCTCTAGTAGCCATTGTCCTACAGCCAACTTTAAATCTTCTCAAAGATTCTTTAAAGTAACTTGGTTTCTCCCAACATTTTTATTTTTATTTTCATTTTCACTTGGAGAAACCAATATATCTTTGCACCAGGAGGAACTATGTTTAGAAGAAACTCTCTAGGAAGGTGCTTGATCCAGATGACCCAGGGTAGCCATGTAGATAGACTTTAGTCCACTCCAGTATTAGACTCAGCCATCCCCTTACAAAATCATGAATTCTGGTACCTAGGAACAAGAAGGCAAATTAATCTAGTCCCTATAGAGATTATAATAAAGATTAAAATAACATTCCAGAACCAAAGAGGTTTTCTAAAACCTCTTTTCAATGAACCAGTAGAATCGCGTTGTCCCATAACCACAGACTACCTGATCTGGAATCTTGGGGCTCCTGCATTCTAACCTGTCTGAGGAAAGACTGTCCATAATAGCTGAGTCCAGGATGGTGAAGCTTAGGGAAAGAGAGAAACCAAGTAGGGAACTTTGTTCTGGCTCTATTAGCAGTGAATGAATTTAGAGAATTGCTGTGACCATGAAGCATGCTTCAGATAGACAGCATTGTCAAATATTAAATTTAATTATAAATTGAGATTTTTAGGAATCTTTAGAGACACTTTTAGTTAATAGATAACACTTGCAAACTTGATGAAACTGGCTATGCACCTCATAGTAGACATTTCTTCTTAGACTGTCTGAGGGAAGCAAATGCAAGAGTAATGATTTGTGTGTCCACTACTCTTTTTAGGTGGCACTTACTCAAAAGCATCTACCCTGAATGGTTATGATAATGGAATTATTTGGGCCACTTGGAAAAGCCGCTGGTATTCCATGAAGAAAACCACCATGAAGATAATCCCATTCAACAGACTCTCCATTACAGATGGACAACAACACCACCTGGGGGGAGCCAAACAGGTCAGGCCAGAACATGAGGTTGAAATAGAAGACAAATAAATCATTTTTCTCAGAGATGGTAGAGTGATAACTGTTAATTTCTATGGACTCACACAATATGTTTCAGACACATTCTGAAAGTCTTTTCCTATCTTCCTTTACTGTATTTTTAAATTTTAATTATTCTTAAAAGGATATTTGGGCTTCAATGAAAAAATAAAAATCCACATCAGACTGTATTCCCAAATTAGTGAAATCAGAGTTATTTTAAAAATTGCTTATTTGAGGAGACAACATTTGGACTTATTTCCTAAATATATAAAAATAAAACTATGGCTTTTTTTTGCCTTATTATGATTATTTGTCATTTTATTTTGTTACTTTTTGGGGTTTTAGTATTTCATAAATATTTTTGTATGTACTAATAAAATAGGAGAAAATTTTAGAGTTTCAAATGCCTGAGTATGTTTTTCATGTATGCTATCCCCAAATCAGTCATATTTAATTCTTCTTTTTTAAACAGAATTATATCTTTTTTAATATATTCTTTTGTTTTGTTATATATTCATAGGCTGGAGACGTTTAAAAGACCATTCAAAAGTGATTTGATTTTTTTAAAGGACTTTATCTGAACAGAAAAATATAATATTTTTCCTATGGGACAATGGACTTTCAAAGCCTCACTTCATATTAAGAGTAAAACGAACTCATGTTGAAAACTCCATTAACAGTTTTGTGCTGGTGGTAATTTATCTACATGCATTTCAATAAACATTTTGTTTCCTAAGACTAGACACATGGTATCTTTTATTGAACATTAAAAACCATCACTTTTCATCCACTTAGTCATTACAATTGGACAGTCATCAGTTTTTGCTGAGCTCACCTTTGATGCTAGACATTGTACCTGACTGGGGGAAATTACAGAGGAAATAAAGTCATGGCTTTTCTCTTCAAAGAATATGAGACACTTGAAGTGCCTGTAACCCAAAGTGAAAAAAATTGACAAAGAGCAGCTGGTGACAGAAATCTGCTGAGGGATTCTTCCAGCAGCAGCGTTGAACTTCAAATATCGGCCACCACACATGTTCACTCAGAGAGGCCTACAGTTCAGAGCAAAGCACTGTGAGGAACCATCTGCTCAGTCTCTCACTGATGAACCAGGAGGGGAGGGGAGTGGAACCATCTCCTCATTCCAAATCAGAGATAATGAGACTTTAGCAGCTTGAATTCAGAAGCTGCTGACTTTCTAAGGAAGTTCGTAAATCTGTGAAACTTGACATTAGGTTGACTGCGTAAAGCACTAAACTGATTTTATGAAGGAAATATCTAATTGATCTGAAGTCCTGAGCTTTGGCTTTGAATTGTCTTCCTTCCCACAATTTCTTTCCTAATTCCCTCATTTTCTGGTTCTCACAAGTCCTGATTTTAAAATAATCTTAGAGGAAGTAAAAACAAAACAAAACAATAAATCAACTTCTAGCTATGCAAACAAATGCTGGTGACTCTTTGGAAAATCGGAACGTTGATGGGCGGAAGGGGGGATGGGAATGGGAAAGACAGTAGAAAGAATTGAACATCACCTTCCTATGTTCATATATGAATAGAAGACCAGTGTAACCTCCACTTTATGTACAACCACAAGAATGGAAAGTTAGATTGCATGTGTGTATGATATGTCAAAATACATCCTACTGTCATGTATAACTAAAAAGAACAAATTAAAAATGAAATAAGAACTTAGATTCATTGTTTGCAGTATTCATTTGTCTATGCATGCACAGTGTTCCTTCAGCTCCCATTTATTGAGTACCTTCAATGCACTAGCTCCTGTGCTAGACATTACGGGTGTGGCACAAAATGTGCTCGACATCTTCCTCTCTCAAGCCTATTCTTTTCCATCAGTTCTTATGTTCCAAAAAGACAAGGACATCTTCCAGGCTTCCTCATTCCCTCCTCCTTCATGTCCACTGACTGATCTAGTCTGTAAAGTCCTAAATATTTAGTAGAATCCTTTCCTTCTCTATAGTTCTTGCCTCTAGTCAACACACACATCTCATGCCAGAAGAATTGCAATAACCTGCTTCCTGTTCCTTCTTGCCGATTCCACCTGGTCATGCTCCACACTATTTCTAAAATCTGAATGCAGAGTCTATCTACACTTCCTGCAATTACAAAATCTTTTAGAGTTTCAGTTTGGTCATGAATAGAAATAGTTATATATTTCAAAGTTTTAGTGCAATAATATCAGTCCTGTGATTTATCCTAAGAACAGTTAAAAACATTTTTTATTTGTTCTAATTAGTTACACATAACAACAAAATGCATTTTGACACATCATAAATTAATGGAGTATAGCTTCTCATTCTTCTGGTTGTACATGAGTTACACTGGATGAGTAATCATATGTGCACATAGGGTAATAATGTTCAGTTCATTCCACTATCATTCCTTCTCCCATACCCCCTCCCCTCCCTTGGCTCCCTTCTGTCTAATCCAAAATACTTCCATTCTCTCCCCACCTCATTTTGAATTAGCACCACATATCACAGAAAATATTCAGCTTTGTTTTTTTTGGTATTGGCTTATTTCTTTAGCATAATATTCTCCAATTCCATTCACTTACCAGAAAATGCCATAATTTCATTCTTCTTTAAGGCTGAGTAATATTTTATTGAGAATATATATATATATATATATATTTTTTTTTTTTAAAGAAACCTGAGGATGTAACTCAGTGGAGAGGAGGTGCTTAATATGCACAAAGCCCAGGGTTCAATCCCAGAGCCCCAACCCTCACAAAGAAAAGAAAGAAGAAAAGGAAAAGAAACCGAAAAAGGAGAAAAAAATAAGAAAATATTATATACAGCAATATAATAATATTTAATGACAATGGGAAATTTAGAAAATATTTAACAGTGGAAGAATGAACAAGCAAGACATTTTGTTAGTACAATGGAATAGACTACAATAACCACATAATAAGAATAATATCTCTATATCAACATGGAAACATTTACAAAATAATAAACAAACTTTAAAGATGACAAAATAATTCTACAATGACAATTATGTAAAAACTGTACATTTTTTTAATAAAATATAATCTTGACATATGCACATTATTTGTACATATTTGTTCTTCCCAATCTATTATATAAAATGTAATGAAATAATAAATAAATTTCCAACATTTCTGATTTTTTATAATCACCTATCTGATGCTTCTTCTGATATATTAATTATAACAGTCTTTCAAAATCATTTTGAAGTCCCCCATATTTGTGAATGTCCAAAGTACATATTTGCTCTACATATTGGATAATCTATCACTGATAGAAAGGGAACAGTAATTTTTTCTTTAGACTTCCCCATATTGTTTGGATTATTATAATGAATATAAATTTTAATTTTGCAGTTAATTTTAAAACTCAGCAAGGTAGAGAAAAATAGATTAAATTTATGTTTAGATATCAATATATAATGGTGAGCACTGAAAGGCTATAATTTAAGGAAGAAAGCATGAGACATACTTCCAGACTCAATTGGACCAGGTCTTCACAAATGAAGTAGGAATTGAAAGGCTTATCTTGATAAGAGAACTTTTAAAAATCTACTTTCAAGGGGGCTGGGATTGTGACTCAGCGGTAGAGTGCTCATCTAGCACATGCGAGGCCCTGGGTTCTATCCTCAGCACCACATAAAAATAAATAAACAAAGATATTGTGTCCAACTACTTCTAAAATATAAATATTTTAAAAAATCTACTTTCAAGCATAAAAAAAGAGTTTGGGAGATTACAGATTCTTTTTCTTCACAATTTCTCAAATCTCAGAAAACTATTGCTCATCTCTCCCCTTGACTTTCTCAAGCATACAAAAACTTGAGTCACTGAAAAATAGAGAAACTAAATGCAAACCGGATGTACAAGGTCCAACACTTTCATAAACCTGCAGGGGGAAATTTCTGAAGGAAAAATTCTGATGCATAGACATTAAGTCATGCAGCAACAGGGCAAAGATTTTATATCAAAAGACGGAATCAATTGGGCAAGTATCAATTTTTTAAAAATATACCTCTGAAGTGCTGTAGCTTTTTCCAAATTTTGTTATGTTTAATAGTTATATTTTATAGATTATGTTTCGGATGTGTGGGTGGGTGAAAAATGAATAGGGAATGAAGAAATGTAAGTGTTCATGGCATATTTGAGATCTTTCCCAGATCCTGCATTCTTTCACTATAAGATTGTTATAAACCAGACAAAGAATGTATGGTAGATATATTTGGTTTATTCCAATGGTAAGAGAGAATATTTAGCTGTGGGAAAATGTGTCTACCTGTTAGTTTCTTATCAGTTTGATTTAGCTCAAAAAAGAGCCAAGGATAAAAGTTAAAAATAGTAAATGAATAGAGGAGCAACAATAAATTCTTGAAAGAGGCCATGCGTGAGAGAAAGACTATATTTCCTTTACCTCTTTGGGGTGTGGCAGGGAGGGACATATGCACACCCTCAGAAGCACCCTCCTTATACACAATTCTCATTAAATCTGTGCTGAATTAGTCTCTTGATTGATTAATCCTAATCTATTTAAATTTCCTTCCTTTCCCCTTCTCCTCTGAATAATCAACGATTCTAATAGATTTGACATGCATTTCTTTATCTGTTGGCATTTTATTAATCATGGATATATATGTGCATATTCTTAAACTATATAAATGTCATTGTACTATATATAAATCAGTGTTATTCAGAATGCTGACCCCCAATTTTTTGTTACTGCATTAAAAACAAAAATCAAGATTAGCATGTAGAAACTTTGTTCAATGTTATGTTTGTTCTGATTATGTCTATTGAAACTGCATCATTGTTTTTTGAACCAAATAACAAAAATTGCAGCCTGTGTTTTACATATTCTTGCTTTGCTAAATTTCATTTTTCTAGTAATTATTTTTATTGTGTTTTTGTAAAATAATAAGTCTGTGACTGAATAGAACTTTAATACAATGGTTCCTTTACCACAAATACTTTGAGAATACTGTTAACATCTTCATTGTATGTATTGCTTTGTGTGTATGTATGTGTGTGTATATGTGTGTGTGTGTGTGTGTGTGTGTGTGTTTGTGTGTGGTGCTGGGTGTCAAACCTAGGGCCTCAACCATAGTAGGCAAGTACTGTGCCACTGAGTCACTCCCCGATCCCACTTATTTTTTTTAATATGACAGCAGAATGCATTACAATTCATATTACACAGAGCACACTTTTTCATATCTCTGGTTGTACACAAAGTAGAGTCACACCACTAGTGTCTTCATACATTATCTCATACATTATCTCATTCCACCGTCTTTCCTACCCCCCCATCCCACTTATTACTTTTGTTATTCATCACTGTTTTTTTAAAGATCTATTTACAATTTGAGTGTTTTATAATTTCCCTTTGTGTCCAGAGGTACTCAAGTGAATACTAATTGTTTCCAAAGCTTGTGAATTTTTAACTAGTTTAACTATTATCTAGATGCATTGCCTATGGTTAGAGGACAGAGTCTTGACAGTGATTCTGGGGAAGGAGAAGTTTTGCAACTCATTTTGGGACAAAGGATTATCAGAATTAACGTATCCCGTGAAAGTTTATATAAACCATAATCATTCTCCAATAAGGATCTACCTACTGAAATTATATGAACATTTTTTTTTTCTTTTGGAAGACGAAGTATAAACCAAAGACAGACAGGTGGTTAATGGCTTTTAAGCATGAGCTTTGGCCCAAATGGTGCTGTAGCCTTTGGCCCATTC